TCCGGTTCACAGGCTGTGCCAAGTCACTTGTCTTCTCTGGGTCTTCACTTCTATCTCCTTCCCTCACATCAATGTCCGACCGTCTGTGGGCACCATAGGAAATGCAATTTGCTTCAAATTAGAACTGCAGAGAGGGCGCCCCACAAATACACAGCACGAACACACACTTTCATTAACTTCCCACAATAAGCCCCGTGGAGGTAGCTCCAAGACTAAAGCCCCAGGGGTTCTGCTGCCATCCCTGCACTCCAGCCCTGCGTACATCGGGATATGGAGGCAGTTAGGGGAGAGGGACTCGGTTCAATCAAATTATAAGCACCCTAGTGCCAAGCGCAAAGAAAACTTCAGAAATCATACTGAGCAAGGTAGAGGAAGGCTTTGTTTTTTCTCACTCTAAAAAGTATTCCTTTAAACACAGTGAAACATTCAAAATTCTACTCAAAACTCAGTTTTAGTATTATCGAACTTAAACTCCATCTAAAACATGCTGTTCCTGAAGTGTCACTCTTGACATTTAGTGAGATACCCTGTCATTAAGTCAGCAGACTTGAAAGACGTGGGGGTTTTCAGTGAAGAACGAAATAATGCCGTGGATCATAACACTGCAGTTTCATCCCCTTCCTCAAAAGCACTTTGCTGATAATCACATTAATCCTTATAATTTCCATGATAATAGACCCAGATCAGTGTTTTCTGAGTAGGAGTGGGTAGGTGGGGCAAGAACTCCTTGGGATCGTGGGAAAAAGGGTGACTGCAGAGCTCTGAGGCAGGGGCTGGCTGCGGGGGCCTTGCCGCCTTTTTTGGGGGAGGGGGGCACCTCTCGGGGCTCTCTCCTTTCTCTAATAGGTGCCATGTCAAGAAGAGGAACAGTAAGCTTTTGGAGGAAATTGGAAAATGACACAGAACACAGTCAGTGGCCAGAGTCCCAAGAATGTGATGGACAACCAAGAAATAGAAAAGCTGCAGAAGCTTTGGTGTGGCTATAAAGCAAGCGGACCAATCGGGCAGATCCAGACGCAGACTAACGCACAGACGTGAGGGAGGCCGCCCTCATCCCAGTAAAACTACTCGGTGTCTCCTTGGAAATCCTCACACCTGGTTCAAAGATCAGGATTCTTAAAGTCTCTCATTGAACTTTATTCACATGCCTTATACTTTATCAAAATATCTATCAGCAGCCAAGCATGGTGGCTCAGGCTTATAGTCCCAGCTACTCAGGAGGCTGAGACAGGAGGATTGCTTGAGCCCAGGAGTTCGAGGTTACAGTGAGCTGTGACTGCACCACTGCACAACAGCCTGGGTGACAGAGTGAGACCCTGTCTCTAAAAAAAAAAAAAAATTCAGACCCTTCATAATTAACACTAACCATGCAAAAAATTCAAAATTTTTAAAGAATTTCTGTATCCTGATTGCCCACATAAACAATCTGATACAATTCTAGCACAGTGAACAAATACGAATTGTCTTCTGCAGTTTGTTGCAAAGAGACAATGTTTCCACCCAGAAAACCTAGAAACAAACTTAAAGTATTAAAGGACACGTAAGAAAGACAATGGTTAGGGGGAATATAAGATTAAAGGGGAAGGACGCAATCCTAGAAGGTGCAGATAGAAATGTATTATGAAGCATTTCTTTAACCTTGGTTCTTAGTCTCACAAACTAAACAAACCATCGTTAATGAAAATTATAGCCCTATCGCCCTCTACCGGAACCAGGCTGGAAAATACAGAGAAAGTTTGAATCGGTTCACACTTGAGTGGTATTCATTGCTACCATTATGTAGATTTTAAAGTCTAAACCTCAGGTGAGAGGTAGACAGCTCCCTCTGCATCCCCAGGCTGACAGGTTAATGCTGAACAACCTAGTGCTGAAGAGAGTGGACAGTCCTTCCCACACTCACCTTTCATTTGTAGCAGCCACCGATTGCCAGGGCCAAGGACAGGCTGTAGCCTTTGCTCAAAATCCCAGTAAGTCAGCCCCAGCACTTCTACCCCACCTCACCTGCGCTACTTGAATTCCATAGACAACAGCTGCTGAGAACCCCCTAACCCACCTCCAAACCTTCCAGCTCCATCTCAGAAAAGCATCACTTTGCTCTTGTAGGCTGCAGTAGGGCTGGACACGATGAATGCCAACCCTTCGCCTCTAGCAACATACATTACTTTAGGATCTCAAATGGTGAGTGCCAAAGGTCCAAACCTTCAGGCTAGCTTCAATGTCACCCTATCAATACCACAAAGCAGTGGTGCCCAAATGTTTTGATCATACACCCAAATCAGAAAATATATATATAATGCACCAATAAATGTATTATTTATTTATAAATTATATAAGTGTACAATTGTACAATATATTATGTACATTATAAAACACACAAAAATAGAAATTTAGAAGGATGAGATTAAATACAAATAATCATTTTAACACTTTCTCGATGGATTGATTATCTGCATACCCCTGGGATGTATACACTTCCACCTAAACCACAGCCCTAAAGCATGCCAATGATTGTTGTTATTTGAGTTTTTAGCTCAGGTTACAGAAAAATGTACAAGATCACATTTTTTTCCTTAAGTTTTGCAAAATTGCCCTAGCATCAAGTTTAAATGGATGAAGACTTCTGGTACTCATTTCTTGAGACATATTTGGCTAATCACTCACTACACAGTTGGTAAAATATCACATTATGCTTCACTAACAGTTATTTCACTTTAAGGCAGACTTGTGGATTTCATGGAGTCAGAATATTTGGGGTGGGGGGAAATGCTATAAAGAAACATTTAAAAACAGAGGATGAGGATTTGCCTATATTTTCTTAAGCCAACAAATTAAATAGCTAGACCCTAAAAAAAATAATTCCTTTGCCTACAGTGGAAAGACTTAGAAAAAAGGCATTCCAAACAATGGCCAAGGAAAAGGGATTAAAATGAATTGCCGCACAGCTGCCTGACTTACCAGCGAGTTCTTAATATTAACTTTTCCTTTGATAGCCCCAGTATCCAATCACAGGGCTGGGCACACAGAAACTCAATAAGTATGTGATAAATGATGAGCCACCCATCAAAAATTATGTAATGTGCTGAGTTACACTTGAAATAAGAATCTTTCCTAAAGAACACACCAGTATATGGTGTGGATTGGCTGAACCAAATACTAAGAAATGTGGTCATGAACAGCATGTCCAGAGAGCCTCATTACATTCCTCAACACCCCCCCCACTTCCACATCAGTTGTTTGGCGTCAAAGCCTCTCTGCTTCCACCAGGGCCTGAGCTTCCCCGCACCACAGTGGAACAGCACAGCCAGACAGGCTCGTCCTCCTCCAGCCCTCAGTGCAAGCTGGGAGGAGCGGAACACAGCACAAGGTATTGTTTTACACAGAGAACCTCACTCGATGTGTTCCTTAATTTAAAAAATTCATAAAAACTGGAAAAATTTTAAAGGACATGAACATCTAACTTGAGATTGAGATATCCACATGGAAAACACCTCAGGGCCTCAACCAATTTTTATAATGTTAAAATTCACAATCACTAGACTTTCAATTGTGGCAACTAAGTCTCCTCATGGAAGGCTATATTTGTTTTAACAGGTACTTTACCAATTTAGACAAAAATATTAAATAATTTAAGTAACTTTCATAAGTAACCAATTTCACCTTGTATACACACACTGTATGTTTTCATCTATATGCTCATCAATTGTTGACCAGATGTCACTGTTTCTTGATAGGAATAAAACTGAAACTTCACTCAAGTTTAACTAGATTAAATGCAAACAAGGATAATTTATTAATCTCATTCCAGAGAAAGAAGAAAGGGGTGTGGAGTTCAGCAACTTGCTGGAGAGAACCATAAACCGAAGGCTCAGTTCTTTCACTATTGCAATGTGGAAAGAGGTTACCTAAATCATTAGAGGAACATTTCTTTTATTTAGTTGGGAAGCATATACACATCACGCAAAGGGCAATGGAAAACAGATTGGTGGAATTTTCTAATGTTGAGGTGATGCTGTTTCTTAAGCACTGTGGTGAGTTACTAGGTTGTGATATCATCCTCTCCAGAGTCTTAAAACCAGAAAGAAGCCAGTTGTTTGAATGAACTAGTACAGCCTTTTTAAAGCAAAATAGCCACCAAAAAAGAAGTACTTTTCCTGAAAAGTGTCTTTCAAGACAACTAGGAAATGTGTACACTACACATTGGTTTGTTCATTTTCTTTGATGTTACGCCACATACATTTTCTCTAACCTCTCCTTTCATTTGACATAACAAGCTGGCTCACTCCCTGCCACAATATTTAGGTGATCAGTAAGTAGCTGCCTCAACCCACACTTGGCAATTCACAGCAAAACCTGATTTGAAAAGTAAACCCACCCTTCTCACTTGTAAAATGAAACAAATGAAACAAATCCTCAGTGGCAGAGCATCCTGTCTGCCAAGGAAGGGTCTCACTAAACTGGTGATCAAGGTTCCAGTGAAAAAATTGCTTTGACCATTTGATAGGAAATATTACATCCTAAATTTAGAACCAAAAAACCATTCATGTTTTGGTGATTTTCAAATTTTATTTCCAACTACTGCAGTAACAAAATACCAGTGGTAATTCTGCATTGAAAGTAGCAACCTTTTAAGTAAACAAGGTCACAAATTAGTATTCCAACAGTACTTTGGCCTATGAAGATTTTGATAGATTATTACAATTGTCCTATAATACTACAGACTTATGCTTCCTCCGTATCTAGTAATAAAAATATTCACCTCACCTCAACGATTCATCACGTACATATTTCTACTGTTTATAAGCACTATCCTTCCAGCTGTACTATGTGAGGGGAAATCTCTCTCACTCCTGGATTTTTCTATAGTATACAGAAACAGCAGTCGCTTCAGCAGTAATGTACAATATTAAATTTTTAGAAGAAAAATAAAAGAATGGATTGCCCTATTTATGTCCTTTCCCTGGAAGTAAAAAGACACACAACATTGAAAACATAAAATAAGTCAAACTTCTATTTTATTGACAGGAGTCCAAAATGAATACAAAAAAAGCCTTCTTTGTATGTTACACTTACTTTCCTTAAAAGGCTTCTGATAGAGTCAGGTAGATTAAAAGCTAAGAATGTAGTTCAGCTTTTAGAGTGAACCTTTTAAAAAAGGTTTAATAATATAAGCCACCAATATCAGAGAACATATGGTCCCACAATAACTTTCAGACCTAATAGCTTATGAAAAGAATTAGATCCTGCATTGATCTGCTAAGAGAGAGGCTTAAAAATGTTTTAAGCCATTAAAAACTGTTTTTATAATCCATCTGATAACTCTGGACAATTAAGAAAAGGAAAATTTCAAATTGTAGCCCTCTATATTATGTGGAATGTGAGAGAATGCCAACTAATGACCAAGATAGAGGTAAAAATAAAATGTTTAAACCTATGAATGGAGCTGTTATAAATAGTCTTATATCACTAAAAAATGTCAATAAATGAGTAATAGAGCTTATCAAGAGATTATAAACTTGAGCAGATGTTACTTAAAACATTTGCAGTATTTATCATACATTAATGTTTACTGAAACTAAAGCTGAACAAAGAAAAGTTGCTCATTTATAGATTTTCATGTACCTTTACTTTTAACCGGGACCATACACTGATCAGATAACACACAGCCCACACTTCTGAACAGTTATAATAACAAAGGATTTATTATCATTTGCAGATGAAATAAACGCACCATCCCATACTTGAAAGGCTTCAATAAGCCCTAAGCATTTTTCAGATTGTACCAAGGCACCACCACTGCCTAGTTAATATAACACACCCATTTCTAGAGAAAAGAAACCGAGACCTCCCTTAACATCAGTTGTGTCCTGTTTCTGGTTTATTATACACTTCCAAAACAGCAAAATTTTGCAAAGATGTGCAAACACTGTGGTCCGTTCATAGTACTGCTTAGTCATCATCTTCCTCTTCCTCTTCTTCTTCCTCAAAGCTATCTTCAAAGCCCTCACTGTCCTCCTGGTCTTCATCCCCCTCTATTGCTGTGTCCCACTGCGGATGATTTTCTGGCACAGGCTTAGCCTCATGAACTTCCAACTAGAAAGAAGAATTAAATGTAGACATCAGAGATTTGGGAGGAATAATGGAAGAAATATCTGATAAACAAATGGTTTTGACTACAGCAATTATAAACAGATTTTTATGGACACAACTCTAAATTTAACACATTTCATTTAGAATAGATACTTCATCCCAGAAATAAGTAAATCTACTAATATGTAAATGTAGTTAAATTTTAAATACATTTTGATTTTATAGAAGTTATACTATTTATGAATGTATTTCTCTGGCACAAAAGATTAATAGTTATGATTCCTGAGCAAGGACACTGAGTGATATCTTAATAGAAGTCTTCTGCTGAAGAAAGAAAAAGAGATATTTTGCAGCCTCTAGACTTATGAAGTAAAATTCTATAGCCAATGGAAAAAAATATGAAACTCTCATGGAAAAAAACAGGCTCACCTCTACTGGCTTCCTTTTACTCTCTACAGTACAACAATACTTTAATACCATCTCTCTAATATAAAATAATGCCTTTTATAAAAAGCTCAAGTGAAATGATAAGCAAAGATGGGAATGTGCTTCAAGTCATATTTACAGAAAGTGTATGTCTAGGATGATAAAAATAGTTTCAGGAATTAACAAACACTCCAATAGAATCTGCAGTAAAAATATTTGTGCTTTTCTAAAGAAAACAAGAACTCATTTGCTGAGGCCCTATAAAGTTATGGCATATTACAGCACATTAAGATGTATCAATAAAGTAATTTAAATTAAGTGATTCAACAGAAAAATTTTATTTGTTGAGAAGTCACTATTCTTACCTTCAATGGTTTAATCTGATCCAAACCCATATAGGAGTCTGATCTCAGAAACACAGTATACTGATAATTTCCAGGCTTGCCTGGTGCAGGAAACTTCAGTTCTACCTAGAAGATAAAATCAGTACTTAAAAATCCATATTTTCAGGAGGAAACAACAGCTCACGCCTAAGATTCCTAGACCAGAGTATTTATTTAATAGCCAGGTATTTACTCAGATGATATAGGAAGTGCTAACAAATGTTACAAAAGTCCTAACAAACAATAACAAAAAAAATTATGTGAAATGTTGTATATTACATATACTACACAAAAAGGAAACCAAATTATACAGAATTGATGGAGTTAATTTATATCTCCACAATTCAAGAATGCATATTGAAAGCTACCAAAGTCTACATTGACCATCACCTTGATAATGTGAAGAAATTAAGTAGGGTTTAAAAGTATAAATTAATGAAATGCTGAAATAAAATAACAGACCTTCACTAGAAAGGAGATAATTCTTGCCAAATTTTCTTACTTCCAGAATAAATGCCCAATGCCTTCAAAAGTCAAGAGGATATCTTATTTCCCATCAAATCATAAACTTCAAATACAAACAGTAACACTTAGAAGTTTCAATCTCACTTGGACAAAGAGCAAATTTTTTTAAATGACATTTGGATGCTCTGGTGATCTGCCTCCAATCTCCAAAATCCCGATTTTATAGCCAAGATTATATATTAAAATACGCCAGTTAAAAAAAAAAAAAAAGGCCAGGCGCAGTGGCTCACACCTATAATCCTAGTACTCTGGGAGGTCGAGGCAGGAGGATCATTTCAGCTTAGGAGTTTGAGACCAGCCTGAGCAAAAGTGAGACCTCACCTCTACTTTTATAAAAATAGAAAAAATTGGCCAGGTATTGAGGCATGTGCCTATAGTACCAGGTACTCGGGAGGCTGAGGCAGGAGGATCCTTTGAGCCCAGGAGTTTGACGCTGCAGTGAGCTATGATGACACCACTACACTCTGCCCAGGGCAATAGAGTGAGACTCTGTCTCAAAAAAATAAGTAAAAGTAGATAAATAAATGATGGGAGGAGGATCTTTAAAAAAAAAAAAATTAATCTCAGTTTGGCCTTTTTAACTATAACAGAAACCCAGAAACTATAAAAGAAAAATATCTAAGCCCAAGCAACTAGGTAAGAAAGAAATAAAGGGCCTCCAAATTGGAAAGGAGAAAGTCAGTGTCGCCATTTACAAATGACATGATCTTATATATATAAAAACCTAAAGTTTCTACCAAAAAACTCTTACAATTGATGAATTCAGTAAAGTTGCAGGATTACAAAATTAATATACAAAAATCAGTAGTGTTTCTATACACAAACAATGAACTAGCTGAAAAAGAAATCAAGAAGGCAATTTTATTTACAATAGCTACAAAAAATACTTAGGAATAAATTTAACCAAGAAGAGACGGAATTTGGGCATTAAAAAAAAAAGAAAGAAAATTTAAAAAAGGAAAATAAAATTTAACCAAATAGGTAAAAGACCTCTACAAGGGAAACTACAAAACACTGATGAAAGAAACTGAAGAGGATACAAACAAATGGAAAGACAATCCATGCTCATGGATAAGAATTAATATTTTTAAAATTACAATACTACATACAATAATACACAGATTCAATGAAATCCCTATCACTGGTATGGCATTCTTCACAGAAAAAAAAATCCTAAAATATCTTTGGAACCACAAAAGACCCCAAATAGCCAGAGCAATCCTAAACAGAAAAAACAAACATTTAAGTATCATACTATGAGACCTCAAAATGTACTGCAAAGCTGTAGTAACACAAACAGTGTGACACTGGCATAAAGAAAGACACACACACCAACAGAACAGAGAACCCAGAAATTAATCCACATATCTACAGCCAACTAATTTTTGACAAAGGTGCCAAGAACACTCATTGTGAAAAGGACAGTCTCTTCAATAAACGGTACTGGGAAAACAGGATAAACGTATGCAGAAGAATGAAAATCTAGACTCCCACTTCTCACTCTATACAAAAACCAACTCAAAATGGATCAAAGACCTAAATGTAAGACCTGAAACTATAAAACTGTAAGAAGAAAACATAGGGGAAACACTTTAGTACACTGGGCTGGGAGAAGACTTTATGAATAAGATCTCAAAAGCACAGGGAACAAGAGCAAAAGTAAACAAATGGGATTATATGAAACTAAAAAGCTTCCGTACAGCAAAGGAAATAATCAACAAACTGAAAAGAAAACCTATATAATAGGTGAAAATATTTGCAAACTTACTCATCCTACGGGATTAATATGCAGAATACACAAGGAACTCAAACATTTCAACAGCAAAAAAATAAATATAATTTAAAAATGGGCCAAAGAGCTGAACAGACATTTCTGAAAAGAAGACATACAAATGGCCAAGTGCATGAAAAAAATGCTCAGCATCACTAATTACCAGGGAAATGCAAATCAAAACCACAATGAGGTATCATCTCACCCCAGTTAGGATGGCTGTTATCAAAAAGACAAAAAATAGCAAATGCTGATGAGGATGCAGAGAAAAGGGAATGCTTATACGCTGTTAGTGGGAATGTAAACTAGCACAGCCACTATGGAGAACAGTATGGAGGTTCCTCAAAAAACTACAAATAGAACTACCATATGATCCAGCAATCCCACTACTGGGAATTTATCCAAAGGAAAAGAAATCAGTGTATCAAAGAGACATCTGCACCCCTATGTTTATGGCAGCACTATTCACAATAGTCATGATATGGAATCAACCTAGGTGTCCAACAACAGATGAATGGATAAAGAAAATGTGGTGTATATATATATACACAACGGAATACTATTCAGCCATAAAAACGAATGAAATCCTGTCATTCATGGCAACATGGATCAAACTGGAGGACATTATGTTAAGTGAAATAAGCCAGGAACAGAAAGTTAAACACCGTATGTTCTCACTCGTATGTGGAAGCTAAAAAAAGTTGATCTCATAGAAGTTAAAAGTAGAACAGATATTATACACTGGGAAGGGTAGGGAGAAGGAATAGGGAAAGAGTTATTAAAGGACACAAAATTATAGCTAGATAGGAGGAATAAGTTCTAGTGTTCTGTACAACTGTAGGATGACTATAGTTAATAATATTAATAATATATAATTTCAAATAGCTAGAAGGAGGCTATTGAACATTTCCAACACAAAGAAATGATAAATGTTTAAGGATATGCTAATTACCCTGAACTGATGCATACTACAAAAAATAAGAAAATGAATAAACAAATAGATATTTATATTTCTTCTTGGTAATAACCATAGTAATAAAACAAACTGGGCAGAAATATTTGCAACAGATATCACAAAGAACTGATTTCTTAACATTTAAAAAAAAGAATCTTGAACCAATTTAAAAGACCCTACAAACATGAACAATGGTTACAAACACAAAAAAATACAACTCAAAACACTGAAATAGGAAATTAAAATTACACTGAACAGAATGAACAGAATAAAAGTTGATTCAGACAATCATCAATGTACACTAAAATGACTGAGTAGAACACTGATGGCAAACAGGACATTCATACAGGGCCCAAATATCACCTCACAGATGAGGAGGGGGTCAGAAATACCTTCACGACTGGGTGCGGTGGCCATAATCCTAGCACTCTTGGGAGGCCGAGACGGGAGGATTGCTTTAGCTCAGGAGTTCAAGGCCAGCCTGAGCAAGAGTGAGATCCTGTCTCTACTATTAATAAAAACAGAAAAATTAGCCAGGCATGGTGGTGCGCGCCTGTAGTCCCAGCTACTCAGGAGGCTGAGATAAGAGGACTGCTTGGGCCCAGGAGTTTGAGGTTGCAGTGAGCTACAATGACGCCACTGCACTCTACCCAGGGCAACAGAGCGAGACTTTGTCTCAAAAAAAAAAAAAATGCCTTTACAATAGAGAAAAGCCTTAACTAAATAAGCAACCTTACTTACCACCACCAATGTAGGGCAAATTGATAGAATGTACCCCTGACACAATACACTAAGAAGTACAAAGTACATCACCAATGTAGTATACTTGCCAATAATATTTAACATAAATAATGAGTAACCAATGAGATAAATTCATGTTAAGTGATTATTTTGCAAAACACTTTGCCTGGACTCTTGAAAAATGTCAATGGCATAAAAGATTAAAACAAAAAAGGACAAGGGAGTGTTCTAGGCTAAAGAGGCATGACAACCAAATACTACATGTAATCATTCTTGATTAGATCCTGAATCTTAAAACAAAGTAAAAAACTATATTAGATATTAGTGGAATATCTGAAGAAATCTGCATATGGACTGCATATTAGATAATAATGCCACATCAATGTTCAATTTCTTGAGTATAATAATTGTATTGTACTCACAAAAGAGAAGGCCCTTGTTCTTAGGAGATATATGTCAAGAATTTAGGAGTGTCATGTCATGATGTCTGCAAGAACCTCAAATGGTTCAGGGGAAAAAAATACACACACATATGTTTTATGTGTGTACACATACAGCAAAAAAGATGAAACAAATATGGCAAAATGTAAACAATTAGTAAATGTAGGTGAGGGTCTATGAGGGTTTCATGATACTATAATTGCAGCTTTTCTATAGGTTTTAAACTTATTAAAATAATCAGAGAGCAAAAAAAATACTGAGATGCTATTTTTCTTTTTTAATCTTTCTGACTACCAATGACATCCAAAATGTCTTACATGCTGAGAGGCAATGGGTGTACTTAGACATTCATTCTCTCTATGGAGAAATAAATATCTAGCAATATCTATCAAAATTACAAATGTACATCTGGCCCATGTACTGTACCTCTATAAATTTACCATTAAACTATTTCACACGTTTACCACTTGGTTAAAAAGGTTAAAAAAATTGTACTAAATAATCATCACAGAACTATCTTGAGACTTAAAAGCCTTGCCCTTGTCCACCAAGTCCAGGCAGACAGAACCTTCTTCCTAGAAAAGATAACATACACACACACATACACACAAATCAAGAAGAAAAACAAGAAAATAGAAAGTAGTTCACACAAGGGTTAAACATGTTCATCATACACTTTAATGATGTCATTAACAGTGAATACCAAATGATCAAAAACTCCATTCAAAAAAAACTAAATCACTAGGTTCTATTCCTTTCTTAGTTGAAAAAGAAAACTAAATCGCCAATTTTTAGATTATTTTTAAGACAAAAAGTGTAAATACTTAGCATTACTCCAATAAGAACAAAAATCATAAATTATTATAAAATATCATTAATTCTAGTGAGGAGGAGGAAAGGCATATAACAGTGAAAACCCCCCAAAATAAGTTGAAAAAAAGGTTTTTTTTTGGAGGGAGTGGTATAGACAGGGTCTTGCTACATTGTTCAGGCTGGTCTTAAACTGGCCTCAAGCGATCCTCCTGCCTCAGCAGCCTCCCAGAGTGCTGGGATTACAGGTATGAGCTACCATGCCTCGTAAAACAAGTTTTTAAAAGACTGACTAAACTGGCTACCTTTAACAATTCTTTATAAATTTCCAATGAGCTTACCCCCCAAAACATCACAAAACAGTTATAAAATGTGTCATAACAAATAGAATACAATAAACCAAATATGATAAACTGCTTTATAAAAAAAGATTTTATAAGCAACATGATGGTGAGATGCTGCACGCTGTTAAAAACTGAAATAATGTTACTGGATAATTACCTCTTCAGTATCTTTTAGTGTACACACATGATATGGCATAGATACTAGTGTCTGCTCCTTCCTATCTGCAATATAAAGCCACCACCATTCTTGTTTTTCCTGGAAAGAAAAAAAAAAAGGGTATAAATAATCAGAATGACAGAAATATAGTTTTGGCCTGTCTTATTTCAAAGATACTATCCTTATTTTGTTCCTTGCTCCATCCCCAGCACTGAGAGTCCATCTGGTACAAAATAGGTATTTTATAATTATTTACTGAATGAATAAATTGTTCCTAACCATTTGTACATCTGTTCCCCAAAAGAATTTTGTATGTAATTTTAGGAGTTTTAATGGTTCCTTAAAGCCTATTGATGAGCCTCCATATTAAAAATCCCTGATTTAGCTTAAATGACAAAAGATATTCCAAAAAAGAAAACAACATAAACTATTAAAATAGCATGTTGCAAATAATCTTAGTAATCTTGCCTAGTAATAAGAAAAAGTCACAAAGTGGGAATGAAAAGGACTTGGGCAGCCAAATAAAAAATCAATACCTTAAAATACTTTACACTCTCATAAGAGATCATCTCAGAATCTAACAGTCTGTGACAGCAGAGAGAAATGAAAGAACAAGAGAAAGAAAACTATTTTAAAAAAATTTAGAAGGCCAAGCACCAACCCACAGTGTACTCAGCAACCACTGCTACATTACAGCACCCATCAGTAACTGTTTAGTCATCGGCTTAGTACCATTTAAGAATTGGGTAGGGAGGATATTTTTCTAAAACAGTTTAAAGAAAAATGTTTTGCAGCTTAAAATAAACTCTAGGATGCTCTCAATATTCATTTAACCAAAATAGCACTAAACTCTCAATTGTCCAAAATGGTTAAAAAATAATTTCATTAAAATAGTTTCTTTGAGAAAATGTTTGTGTTTTTAAATCAAAATTGCTGCACTATTTTATTTTAATAATGAGACTAAAATTTGGCTTTTATCTAATAATATCACGCTAAGTTCAACTAAAAACTCTTCTGTTTAAATACCTTAGACTATAAAGTGCTACAACATTAATAAGCCTAATAAACAATTCGCAAGTGCATGATGATGTGAGCTGCACCTAACAAGAAAATTCAATTCTGCTTACCCCAAGGGTTAGGTCTACCACAGTAGGCATATTTGTATACATAACATTTTGTGTTTTCCACACATAAAGTATATAAAAACATAACAGGACTCAAAGTGCAGTATTAATACCTGGGTTTTGGGGGTGAGAGTCTCTGTTGACCCTACTCAAATCTGCCACTGCAACATGAAAAGAATGAGTGTGGCTGTGGTCTAATAAAACTTTCTTTACAATAAAGCCTCATTTACAAAAACAGGCAGGAGCCAGATTTGGCCTGCAGGCTGCAGTTAGTTAATATCTGTTTTAAAGCCACACAGACCTGGGTTATTTCACTTCCCTAAAATCTCACTTTCCTTCTCTGTTAAACAATCAGTGCCTACCTCTGGCCATGTTGTGAAGATAAACTGAGATAATACAAGTAAAATATATGTCAAAATGCCTAGCAAATAGACTGTAATGACTGACAGTTATGATTATCAGTGAAATGAAGTACAAGAACACTTCTTTTAAATGATTCTGACAATTGTTAGAAACGTCATTACATGTATGTAATATCTTTACCTCCCCACTTAAAGAATGCCTTTCCCTCCCTTGTCCCAGGCTGTTTAATTAAAATGAGGCTCACTCAAGTTTATTAAGAAGCCAGTGAATATCAATAAATGGCACTGCACCTGTACCTAGACTCTTTAATGCACATGTTAAAAGTGAAACACATGTTCTATGAGTTATCTGCACTTTAAGCAAAATTGTTTTTCTGTTGTGTGAGATTCCCAACCATTCTTAACATATTAAATATAATAAATGATTTCAATAATATGTTATTACTAAGTGGGTAGTTTGGTAGTTGAGTTACTTAGGTAGGGTACATGGGAAGGTAGACAAGTAGATGTTAGAAAGAGCATAAATAAATTTTATCTGATAAATGGTACTTTGAGATGTTTACCATGCAGATGCAAATTAAATCTGAAAAAGGCATTTCACTGATAAAATGTTCTAAGCGGGTGAACGAATGTTTCACTTATTAACTAAGCATGATCTAAAATGCAACTGCCTGTTATATGGGTACAAATTATGCAGCTTACAGCTTCCCATGGCACTTTTAAACCAATGAATGAGTGGAATTTATTCGCTTGATTTCAGGATGCTTGGTGTTGGCAGACTACCCCAGCAATGGGCAAAATGCCCCTAACAGATGGGCTAAAGCTCAGGACATGCCAAAAGATCAGCATGTGCATGAAGATGGAATCCTGGGCAGACTTCTTGCCAAGTCAAAACAACAGTCTGTGCAGAGCCACTCATTATTACTAGGAGAGCCAAATTATTTAGGAATTTGTCTTAAGCAGTACCCAGAAACTCTGGATTGACATTCTCAAGCAGAAAGCAGATTTATACATGAAATCACCTGCCAAATACAAGTGGTGAGCAGAAGGTTCTGTGGCAAAGCTGTGAGGCAGTCTGTGGAACAGTTTCCCTGAACTGGGGGGAAATCAGTTCTTGACCTCTCCTCCACAGACAGAATCATCCTCAAAGGCAAAATGTCAAGGGAATCTCAAAGTAATTTAAAAGACAAACAACATAAAGCCGTCAAGGAGACCAAAAGCTGAGCAGGTCACAACCACGAAGTAAACAAGAACAAGGGAGCAAAGAGCATTGTAATGACCTGTCCTAGACTTGGGGCTCAGTCACTCTCAGCTTTTACTGAACTTTGTTCAGGGCCAAGAACACAGCTGGTCCCAAGCCATGGGCTCACCCATGGACTGCGGCAATTACTGGGGCCAGAGCAAGTCTAATGGTCCCATGTGACTAGTAGGACTCTCAAGGGAAAATTTAAGAATATTTTCATTCTATTTAAAACTTGGCAAGGGTGAGAGATTCACAATAGTCAAGCAGTCAAAGGTGAAATAAATGTATGTTTGATGAAGACTGCCTGAACTGCTAATGAGAAGTAACTATTAAGCACAACACTCAGTAACCTGAGCACAGAAAAGATGGAAAGAAAAAAAAACAGAAATCCTTAAAAAGTTAACAATCCTCCTTTTAAACAACACATTCACTAAGTGTAATTCTTATTGTAATATAATGTGTAATAAAATAATGTGTAATAATACGTAATAAAAATGTGGCCTCTCAAGAATAGACCATATTTATCACACTTGAGCTAGTACACACCAGAGACACAAAAGTCTGGACTTAGGAAAACACTAGACTGCGTATAACTCACCTCAGGAAAGTAAAGACTATACACAGGATGTGTTATCTTTGATTTGGTTTCCAACAGAGCTCTCTCCTTTCTCTGTATACTTTGTTGTAATTCTTGCCACTCCTAGTAAAGAAAAAATTAAAATATTTGAAATCTAGTATGTTTCTGATCATTTTGAGGAGTGTCCAGCTATTTCTGACAATGCTAATTAATTACTTACAGTTAGAAAAAGTTCAGTCCCGCAATTCTGATCATCTTTCTGCTCAAATTTATAATGTCTCTTTTTATAAATCAGTTTCACCCCTGTAGCATGAACTACATAGCCGTTCATGATCTGACCCTAGCCCTACCTCTCCAGTCTCCTGTCACTGCCTTCCTCTTTCCCCTTTTTATTCTAGTCATTTCAAACTATCTATGCTTCTTTGAACTTACCAAACTATTTCACTCCTCCAAAACCCTGTTTAAATTTTTGTTTTTCCTAATTCTCCACCTACTCGTTATTCTCTCAGGGCCAGCCTAAAGTATGAACTCCTTAGTAAAGCCTCCCACAAATTTCCTTCTACCTCAGAACTGAGCTGATCACTCCTTCCTTATGCACCTTACAGAAGATGTGTATAATCTTGTGTGTACTATAATGTTTATTCACAAATCTGCCTGCTCTACTAGCCTTCATATCATTCAAGACCAGAAACTACTTCACATTCAGCTTTGCATTCCTTTCATCTAAGACAGACTTGTGACAGATAATCAATAATTATTTGTTGATTGAATGAATATAATTTTGGTCATCTGAAGAAACCAGCTGTCAAAACCCTAAGAGTCACCTTTACTAACCCTAATATACTCAGAAAGGAATATGTCAACTCTTCCTTGAAGAGAAGCTGGGGAAATAATTTCTTTGATAGATTTTAATTTTCTGGCAATTAATTTAATTCTCAAAGTGCAAAAACAGTCAAGGCCCAGTAATTGCTAAAAACAGTCATCCGTATTTGTTTTCTACCATTCCCAAAGATGGGTACATTATTTTCTTATGCCTTTTTTTTTTTTTTTGAGACAGAGTCTCGCTCTGTTGCCCTAGCTAGAGTGAGTGCCGTGGCGTTAGCCTAGCTCACAGCAACCTCAAACTCCTGGGCTCAAGCAATCCTCCTGCCTTAGCCTCCCGAGTAGCTGGTACAGGCATGTGCCACCATGCCCTGCTCATTTTTTCTATATATATTTTTAGTTGTCCAGATAATTTCCTTCTATTTTTTTTTGTAGAGACGGGGTCTTGCTCTTGCTCAGGCTGGTCTCGAACTCCTGAGCTCAAACAATCCACCCACCTCAGCCTCCCAGAGTGCTAGGATTACAAGTGTGAGCCACCATGCCCGGCCTGCCCTTTTTTTTTTTTTTTAGAGACAGGTTCTCACTCTGTTGCCCAGGGTGGAAAGCAGTACCACAATCACAGTTCACTGCAACCTCAAAGTTCTGGGCCCAAGCCATCCTCCCGAGTACCTGGGACTACAGGCATGCACCACCAGGCTCAGCTAATTTTTAAAAGATTTTTGTAGAGATGAGGTCTCGATATGTTGCCTAGGCTGGTCTCAAACTCCTGGCCTCCCAAAGTGTTGAGATTACAGGCATGAGCCCCTTTGCCCAGCCTGTTTCCTTATACTTTTATCCTTTGCCCTCTACTTCTTTCTCTTTTTGGCCTCTCCTTTTGCCTCAGATGCCATTCAGGCAATCCCTTTTTTTTCTCCCAAACCACAAGGGTTACTTTTAGATCAACTGTCTGGTCAAAAAGAACACTGCCAATAAACATAAAAATCAGCTGATCAGTTTACTGTTCATTTGCAAGGACCCCATTCTTCTCCATAAACCCCCCACAAATCATGTGCAACTTAATGCCATGAGATTTTTCTGTACTCTATACTCTCACCATATTAATTCATTAAAGACTCACCCTGTCCTTACTTAAATGTCTTATACACACCATGAAACAAGGTGGAATTCTATAAATGTTAGCTTTTCCCTTAACAAACCTCTTGACATCAGGGCCCACAGTACTGTTTCTTCACCCTAAACATTATCTGGACCCTGTGAGATAACCTTCCAAGTAACCACTACCTGTTTCACAAATACCTTTCCTTGCTCCTATTTCCAGAGACATCCCCAACACTGAAAATTTCCTTAAGAGTTGAAAGTGAATTCACTTTCACAGACCTAGGTCTTACTCTACCTAACAATTTAAGATTTAAGAAAATTAGGATTTCTAATCCTTGTCAGAAAGTTTTTCTTCATAACCCTTACTGCCATTCCTCAAAAATGTTCTTACAAACAAGATTATAAAATATATGGATATTGTTTAAAGCAAGCAAACATATGAACAATAACAACAAAACCCAAAACAATCGTCAGAGGTATAATTCCAAATATTTAAGCCTATAAATCTTACTGCTTCATCATCTTTGTTTTGTTTTTCATCTTGCTCTCTATCAGATTCTCTGTCACTACCATCATCTTTTTCACTTTGGGAATCTCTATTGGTTTCTTCTTCCTCAGAGTCACTGCCTTTGTCAGAAACTTCTTCTTCATCTTCCTTTATTGCAGCTTCCTAAAACGAAAAAGCAAGCACCAAAGTTCTGAATATCTAAATGAGTATATATCAGTCTGAGTCCTTGAAGCTAACTTATTGTCAGCATAACTAAACTGGCTCAAAATTACAATTTCACTATTCATACAGAATTTTAGAAAATTATAAACTTTCTTATTTAAAGATGTGGGAGTCAGACCGAAGACTTTAACATTTGGCTTATTTGCCTATTATTAGTTATTTTATTCAGTCTTTGTAGTTTGTAAAATAAATACATTTATTTCTAAAGTACATTGTAAAGTACATTACCACAATGGCTAAGACAGCTCAGCTTTTAAAAGCATCAATTATACAATATATTTTATTTGAGAAGAGGAAATAGGAAGTTTACAGAAAAATACTGTTTTGGAAGTTTAGGATCATTTTCATTAACTGACAAGGTATAAAGCAGTAAGGAAAAACAATATCCCCGGCAAAATAGTTACTAGTCTATTTCGAGAAGCAAGAAAAAGAACAGCAAATCAAATGCAAAGAAAGTAGAAGTAAATAATAGACCAGAAATCAAGAAAGGAGAAAGCAGATAAACAAAAGAAAAACTCAAAACCAATAGTTGGTTCTTTGAAAAGATTAATAAAACTAATTAAACCCCGAGACAAGAGTGCACGAGAAAAAAACGAAGAATATAAATTACTGATATTAGGAATAAAAGAGACATAACTAGATCCAACAGACATTAAAAAATAAAAGGATACTATAAATAACTTTATGACAACAAATTTACTAACTTAGAGGAAATGGACAAATTCCTTGAAAAATATAATTTACTAAAATCAATATATATGTTAAAGAAACAAACTCTGTAACTGAATCCGTTTTTAAAACTCCAGGCCCAGATGGTTCTCCTAGAGAATTCTTCCAAAGAAGAAACGAACCCAAACTTACATAAACTCTTCCAGAAAAAAGAAAGAGAGAACACTTCTTAACTTGGTTAATAACGCCACCATAAAAAACCTGACGAGAATATTACAAAAAAAGGAGAATGGCAACCTAATATTTGCTCATAAAAACAGAAGTGGGAATCCAAACAAAATATTATCAAATCCATATAAATACAAAAAAGGATACTATGTTATGCCCAAATGAGATTTGTTCCAGGAAAGCAAGGATAGTTTCAAATTTTTAAATCGATCAATATAATTCACCACATTAACAGAAAGGAGAAAAATAAAACAATCTACATAGATACAGAAAAGCTGTTAATGAAATTCAATCCATGCTTATGATAAAAAGTCTCAGCAAACTGGGAATAGAAATTCTTTAACTTGATAAAGAATATCCACAAAAACCCTACAGCTAACATCATACTTAGTGGTAAAATACTGTTTGCTTTCTTTCTAAGATCAAAAAGACAAGGGTACCTACCATCATCACTCCTAATCAATATTACACTGGAAATTCTAGTCAGCGCAGTAAGGGAGAAAGAAGGGGCATAAAGACTAAAAATAAAAAAGTAAAATCGTCTTCATTCACAGATAAGATTGCACACATAGAAGATCTTTACAAAATATCTACAAATGGTTACAATTGTCAATTCATTAAGACTCCTCGATACAAGGTCAATATTTAGAAAGCTACTATATTTCTATACACCAGGAACAAACACTGAAGAATAAAATTTTTTTAATGCCATTTACAATAACACCAGAAAGCATCAAATACATAAGCAATAAATCTAATGAAAGATGTGCCATACCTCTGCCACTGGAAATTATAAAACACTAATGAGAAAAATTAAGGAACATCCAAATTAATGAAGATAAATCACAATCATGAATAAAAAGACTCAGTATTGTTAACATGTCAATTCTCCCCATATCAGACCATAGATTCAATGCAATACCAAGCTGAATTTCGGCAGCTTTTTCTGATGAAAATTGTTAAGTTTATTCTAAAAATATAGCTGGAAATGCAAAGGACCTAAAATAGGACAATTTTGAATTAGTAAAATAGAGTTGGAGCACTTACACTACCATGTTTTAAGACTTAACATAAAGCCACAATAATTAAGACAGTATGGTATTGGCACAAGAATAACGAAATAGACTAAAAAGTCCATAAACAGACCTACACATCAGATACAGTATAGTCACCTGTTTTACAACAAAGCACAATTACAACTCAGTGAGGAAAGGATGATCTTTCAAGAAGTGGTACTGGAAATAAGTGGTCCATATCCCCTACCCTGCATCATTCATGAAAATTAATTTAAGATAGATCATAAAACTAAATATAACAAGTAAAATAATAATGGTTCCAGAAGAAAACAGAAGAATACTTCATAACCTTGGGATAAGCAGAGATGTCTTAAACAGGACATAAAAGCACTAACCATAAAAAAAAGATTGAGGAAATGGACTTCATTAAAATTAAGAACCATCAAAAGCTACCATTAAGAGAATAAAAATGTAAAGACATACCCAGAATATATAATGGACTCCTACAAATCAGTAAGACGACAAACAACCCAACAGAAAAAGAGGTTATCCAAATGGCCAATAAGCATTAAGAAAAGGTGCTGTTCAACATCATTACCCATCAGGTAAATACAAATAAAAACCACACAAAGGGATACTAAATGGCTAAAATAAAAGACTAGCAAAACTAAGTATTGGTGAGGATGCAGAACTGGACTCTCATACTTTGCTGGTAGGAACATAAAATGGTATAACTCTGAAAATCAGGCTCTTTTAATGGGTTAAACATACACCTATTTTATGACCCAGCAATTCCATTGCTAGGTGGAAAACGAATGTCCAAAAATGCCATGTACTTATTATATAGCACAGCAGGTGCTTTTATTCACACCAGGTAAAAACTATAAACAACCCAAATGTCCAACCAACCACCACAGAATAAATTGTGGTATATTCATACAATACCACACACACACAGAACGAACTACTACTACAAACAATACAGAGGAATGCCACAGAAATAATGTTGGAAAAAAAAGCAGGATACATAAAATAATTCCACTTATATGAAGTTTAAAAGTAGTCAAAACTAATCTATGGGTAATTACAGTCAGAATAGTGGGAGGTGAGGGGGTGGGAAGGTGGATGGGGGGCTGGGCTCATTGACTGAGAAGATACTCAAGGAAGCTTTCGAGGGTGCTGGTAAAGTTTTTCACCTTGATCTGGCATCATAAGTGCATACCTATGTAAAACCTTAGGCGGTGTACACATAAGACTTCAGCATTTTAGTGTGTGTATCTTATACCTTCACAATGACAATTAACAATGATAATAAGAAACTTACACTCCCAACGACTCCATTTGCCTGCTTTTGTTTTTGTTGCTTTGATTGTGATAATGGCACAGGTATAGGTTTTTTTTTTAAAGGTTTCTTTTTTTTGGATTTAGCAGTTTTCTTGGGTCCTTTACTCTTCTGTTGCCATCCTCCTTTTGCCCTGTTCTTGTTAGTATCTCCCTGCTGTAAATCACAACACACATGACATTCAGCAAGTTATAGCAATAGGTTCATTTGGAAGTCATAGTAATTTTTAGATGGAAATGGCTAACCTGAATGTTTTCATTAACTGAATTATTTTCCCACAGCAATATAAGTCAATCAGAGAAGTAAATAAAACATTTCTTTCACCAGGAAAGATACGTTCAGAAAACTCAAATTTTTACCCCATCTTCTGCTGGCTGTTCCTCTGCAGCACAAATGGACTGTTCCTTTTCAAATACTTCCTAGGGATAGCAAGAAGACAAACATAAAATCTGTCAACCCATACTTATCTTTCAGACAAAGCAATCTCTCAAAATATATTTTAAGTAAGGTTTTTTAAACTAGCTACAATTGAGGAAGGGAGAGGAGACATTTAACAATTACGAGGTGATGAATGCGTACATATGCTGGTAGTTCCCTTCTGAAGTTTCTCACCTCTGTCTTGAATGTATCTTGAAAAGTACAGTCTACTTAAATTTATAAATGCAATGACTTAAGATATTTAAGTTCATTATAAAGTAAAAAATATTTCATAATTTAAAATTTCACTTTTATTCTAATAGCAATCAAACACGAATACTTTAATGTTATGAAAATTTCAATATATCACATTTTCTGACATTGAAGCTCTGATGAGACCAACATTAGTTTGTTCATTATTGTCAGAAATACCACTCATTGGATCTGTGACTAAAAAGTGGATCATCAAAAAATCCCATATATCCTACAGACATATCAACCAACCATATAATGCATTTAGCATCAGTACAAAAGCTATAAATTTAGGATTTGAATCCCAATAAGAACCCAGTAAGAATCTATAGTAGATGACAAATGGTGTGGGCTGTGTTTAATGAACTCTCTGGCATTATTAAAAGCTAACGAGTAAAAGAATTATAATTATTAGACTCTATACAATATAGATAGCCTAATTCAGGGTTAACACCCTGAAAGGCTCACCACCTGCTTTTTTAGTTTGTTGCTGTCTTCTTCAAAGAGGCACATCTCTTCCAGAGTCCATGATGCATGGATGATACCACTTGCTACCACAAAACCAACATTTTTGACTTGATATATCTGACTATGAAATATGCTTTTCCTACAAGCGATTTTAGACATGGGATTTAAATGCAACATATATTTCCTGCATATGCAGAAATCCCAGAACAGAATAGGCTAAAATCTATCACTAGCTGAATAAACTGAGTTGAAATACTATAGTCTCCTAAAAACAATGAGTTACAACTATACTAGTTGACTTGGGACAAAATATAAGTAAGTAATAACTTTAATTTCTTTGTATACTTTTCTGCATTGTCTTAATTTTTTCCCCAGACAGCATAAATTTTTCTCATTATCAGAAAAAAAAGTTACTTTCAGATTGTAATCTTTAAAATGAAAAAGAAAAGGGAGTAAATTCTCTAATGAATTGACTAAAAAGGAGTAGCTGATAAAATCCTCAATGATCAATAATTAACCGCTGTATAGCACTTTACAGCTTAAGAACTATACCCACATCACTTTATTATTATAATGTTTTATAGAGAATTAACAAACCATCACACAAATGATTGATCTATTTCCCAGGTTTTTTTAGGGTATGTGAAAACAATGTCTCATGAAAATTAAAATTTCAAAACAGCTAACAGAACTTGCAAAATTAGATTTTGTTACTAGAACAGTTTTGACTTTGAGAATGTAATGAGGAAAATAAACATAAAAACCCTGACACATAACTCTTAAAGCATAAAATACAAACAGACTACTTACTGCCATTGTTTGCCTTGTCAGCTTAACCAACACTGTAACTAGGGATCCTACTGTGATGTTGTTGCTATCTTCGTCATCCAATACTGTAACATGGAAGGAAAAAAATAAGTAAAAAATAAAAATCGAATTCTACATCAATGTAAACAGCAAAACTTAGCTTACCCAAATCAATTTGGTACTTCAGTATTTTGAGCATATTATATTTTAAACTTATTTTAAAATAATTTATTGATTATTCTGTACAAGGCTCTCCAGTAGACGCCTTCAACTGATTCACTAAATCCTTAAAATAGCTCTACAAAGTATTATAATTTTTCCATTTTAAAGAAGAATCTGAGGTTCAGAAATAATAAAATGCCCAAATTCACATAACAGCTGCATCAGCATGCCAAGTTCCAAACCCAAGTCTTTGAAAACAGGACTACCACAACACAGTTCTCTCTCATAATAGTATAAAAATAGGGTTCTGTCACTCCAAATGTTCAAAGCTTATATTCATAGGATTTTATTTGTATAATTGATACCTGACTGTCAGAATAAAATAATGAAAATTAGTATTCTAAACCATTTATTTTTTACTTATTTTTAAAGCAATAACTTCAATACATTCCCTTTACATTAAAAAACACTTTATGTAATAAATAGTACTACATACAATAAATTGTTTTGTAATTATTTAATTTTTAAAACCACATTTGCTACACACATCCCCTAAAAGTCTAATAAAATTAAAATAAATAAAACAAAATAAATAAAAATAAAATATAACTTAACACATCTTCTATTCAAATGTGGGCACTATTAGCCAGGCACAGTGGCGTGTGACTGTAGTCCTAGCTACTCGGGAGACTAAGGCAGGAGGATTGCTTGAGCCCAGGAGTTTGAGGTTGCACTGAGCTATGATGACGGCACTACACTCTAGCATGGGGGACAGAGTGAGACTCTGTCTCAAAAAACAAAACCAAAAGAAAAAAAAAACATGAGCATTAATTCATTATTTTTTCATTATTTTCTACAGATTTTATTTGTAAGAGATTTGATTATATATTTTTGCCTACCATTCTTTCTAAGTTTGTTATGTTTATTTTTCACTGATTAACATTAGCACACCATCCTGTCCTCTAATAACACACCACCAATTGGAAAAAATGGCCTACAACAACCTATAACTGCTATCTCCATTGCTGGCTATAAGGTGCAACAGCTGGACATCGACAAAGGGTATAGCATCCTTTCTTCATCCTGGATTTCTCAAATATCAAAAATCAAATCTGAGCGGGGCAGTGCTGTAATCCTAGCACTTTGGGAGGCTGAGACAGGAGGATCACTTGAAGCCAGGAGTTTGAGAACGGCCTGAGCAATACAGAGAGACCCCGTCTCTACAAAAAATACAAAATTAGCCAGGCCTGGTCTTGTGGACTGTTACTTGAGCCCAGGAGTCTGAAGTTGCAGTGAGCTATGATGACGCCACTGCACTCTAGCGTGGGCAACAGAATGAGACTCTGTCTCCAAAAAAAAACCCCAAACGAAAAAACAAAATCAAATGTGGTCCACACATTTATCCACATTTTTCATTTTGCAAAGCTGTGCGTGCATGAGTACTTCATGTGAAATAACGGCAATATCCATATCTACCTACTGTTTGATGCTTTAAAGTGAAGAAAAGGCCTACAGGAGATTCTACACAGCCTCTAGCAAAGTGGGGAAGAAGACCTACATCTCCAGCAACGTATCATGTTTCTATAATTCTTCTACTCTACTCTTCCTTTATTAACTATGCCATCCATATTATATATCTAAGCAGCACTGTAAAAGCATAATAAATTATCTATATAAGATGTTATGAATGTTTATATTCCCTCAATATTTTGAAATTAAAAAAAAAAACGATGTTATGGAAAAGAACACATGGTAATGTTTCCCAGTGTGACTGAATACTCTTAACTTACTTCCTATAAGAAAATCTCTTCTAACAATTTTTCTAAGAAACATGTACTTTTTACAAGTCTTGATTATATCAAAGAGTATCTATCTCTAAGTTCCAAACAAAATCTTTATTTCAACAGTTTCTGATTTAATCAATGTAGTTCTGAGTGCGGCTTTTGGATTACTGCTTTTAAAATCCGAAAACTCACAAACCCACAAGAAAACCCCAACTCCCCACCAAAGTGATCCAAGTTTTCACTATATGTATCCTACACTCTAGCCAAATCGAAACCAGATTATACTGTTTGCCTTCCTTTACGAAACACCCCAATCTTTGGGAGCCATTTACCTCTTCCCAATTTCTATTAGAATATAAACTCACTGAGGCAGAAGCTTTGTCTTACCGCTGCTTCCCCTACACCCACGGGAGTGCATGGCACTCAGTATCTGTTACGTGAATAAATGGCAATAATGTCTGCGTCATTCACTTAATGTTTAGCATATGTTCTCTTGTTTTCATTCCATTTCCTCAACTAGACAATAAGCTCTCCAAAGACAGAAATCATTGTGTTAACATATCCCTGTACTCTTGGTACCTACAAAAATGTTCTAATAACAGTAACTTAGTGAGTGTTAAAGCTCAGATCATCAACACCACAGTTAAGTGATGAAGCAGATGATCTTCAACTGTCAGTATTCTAAGATACTATTACTCAGATATTAAAATTAAAACAGTAACAGGGCAATTAGGTAGGCAGAAAATTCTATTTTTTTCCCCCTCAAAGTAAATACAGAGGTGAGAAAAATACATGAAATGTGGCATAAAACATGGTAATTTTCAAGGCTTAATTAACATAAGTTGGGTTTTTTTTAAATTTTAGAATTAAGCAGCTATTTGTTTCACATTAATAATATATTTCAAATATATCAGTCTTTCATCACACCTGGAAATCTCTTTCCTTCTTTCAAAAGCTAAGAAATTCCTTAAAGTTGAACTACGGAACAGAGAAGAACCCTCAGATTTAATCCCATTATGAAGATAATAAAAGGGGGGCTTTATCAGTGTTCTCAAAATTATTAAGTATACATCATTTTCCAACACAGTAAATCTGACAGGTAAATTACAGTTCTGCAGAGTAATTATAAGTTATGTTATTAAATAAAGTGTTTCAAGAATCTTGAGTCAAATAAATAAGAACCAATCTATCAAAAGGGAAGCAATGTTCAACAGGGAAACCTCCCACTTACCCTGTGATTTTATGTCCATGGTCACATATGGAAAACTCCCAAGGACAGCCATAACTTCTTCATATTTTTCATCTTCAAGGAAGTGCAACAGACTGTGACGATCTGATTCTTTTAAACTCACCAAATCCTGGATAGTTTTAATTTTGTACTGAATAAAAAAAGATGAAGAAAGTAAATCCCTAACTCATAAAACTTTTCATTAAAAGAAAACTATGGCCGGGCGCGGTGGCTCACGCCTGTAATCCTAGCTCTCTGGGAGGCCGAGGTGGGCGGATTGTTTGAGCTCAGGAGTTCGAAACTAGCCTGAGCAAGAGCGAGATCCCGTCTCTACTAAAAATAGAAAGAAATTAAT